ACCCAACTTGAGTTGGGGCATGGCGGGGGGGAAAGGGCTCCCTCCGGTGCCCGCGGTGCACGGAGGGTTCCGAGGAGGGATCAAACCCCATTGAGCACCAGAGATAACGCCGGGGAGAAACGGGTTTCGGAAGTGCCTGGAGTGAGGAAAAGAGTTTTGGGAAGAGTTGGGACGTTGTACGTGAGAGAGGAAAAATAATCGTAGCGATAATCAGTGCTTCTGGGTAAAATTCATTGGGTTTAGAGTCTGAGAAAGTGGGAAAAAAATAAGCCAAATCATGGAAATGAGCTGAAGTTTGCTGATCGGCCAATAAAATACTTTTTTCTAATGATTTCCTCTTAATTATTGAGTTTACTCAAAGGGCTGAACGTGCTGCTCCGTGATCCGCTCACTTCCCACCGCTCCCCGGCCAATCTGCCGGCCCCTTTGGGCCATCCGTCATCCCCTCGCCCATTCCAGAAATCCTTCGGCCTTTTCCAGGTATCCACCAACACCCCAAAGATGTTCCTAAATTCTGATTCGCTCCTGTGAAAGGTTTATCCAGGGTTTGGATAGAGACGTGAGAATATCTCTATCACTTCATGGCCAAATTCACATTTTATTTGCCACCATGGCCACCCTACACCTTAAAGGTCCCAGTAGGGATCTCCTGGGCACTGACAAGGTGAGGGAGCCCTCCCGCGTGGTGATGGGACCGTCCCACCTGGTGATGGGATCATCCCACCCACTGATGGGACCATTCCACCTGGTGATGGGACCATCCTACATGGTGATGGGACCATCTCACCTGCTGATGCGACCATCCCATCTTGTGACGGGTCACCCAGCCCAAACCACGAGGACCAGATGGTCCATCCTGCAGACCTTGGCTGGCCTCCAGAAGACCGAGGATGGAGGCGTGGGAAGACCCCGGGAGGTGTCCGTTATAAGCGGGATGGACGGTGGCCACGCGGCCAATGCCAAACCCACTGTGTGCGTGCGCAAAAATACACATTATTTCGAACGTAGGGTCATGTTTTACTCAAAACCACGTATATTTACAGGTATTTTCCCCCTCGTCCTTCCTGATTCCAGTGCGGAACGCTTTCCGTACACCAACGGCTGTTCCATCCATGTGTTTTCTTCCAGATCTGGGAAGGTCTTGAGGTTTTTTTCCTCCATCCCATCTCTTCCTTCCACCCTCCCCCAGGAATTCAATGGTTTTTCTCCTCAGCGTCCCCGCCGACGCTCAACCGGGCAGCGCCGTCCTCCGCGGAGACCTCGCAACGGGTGGGAAGAGCCGAGTCCTTCGGGAAGCTCTTCCCACGCCGCCGTTGGCCGAGCCCATCCGCTCCGTGCACCCGTTGGTGGACCATGAGGTTACACCTCCGCCCGAACCTCTTCCCGCACGCCCGGCACAGGTAGGGCTTCTCCCCGGTGTGGGTCCTCCAGTGGGCGATGAGATCCGTGCTCTGCCCGAAGCCCTTCCCGCACTCGCGGCACTTGTAGGGCTTCTCCCCGGCGTGCTGCCGGCGGTGCCGAAGGAGGCTGGAGCTGTTGCTGAAGACCTTCCCACACTCCGGACACTTGTAGGGTTTCTCCCCAGTATGGAAACGTTGGTGGGCGACGAGGTCTCCGCTCAAGCCGAAGCTCTTGCGATGAGATCCGTGCTCTGCCCGAAGCCCTTCCCGCACTCGCGGCACTTGTAGGGCTTCTCCCCGGCGTGCTGCCGGCGGTGCCGAAGGAGGCTGGAGCTGTTGCTGAAGACCTTCCCACACTCCGGACACTTGTAGGGTTTCTCCCCAGTATGGAAACGTTGGTGGGCGACGAGGTCTCCGCTCAAGCCGAAGCTCTTGCCGCACTCGTCGCACCGGTAGGGTCTCTCCCCGGTGTGCAACCGCTTGTGCCGGATGAGGGTGGAGCGACCCTTGAAGTGTTTCCCGCAGTCGGCGCAGTGGAAGGGTCGGTCGCCGGTGTGGGTGCGTTGGTGGACCACCAGGTCCGC